CTGAGCCATGGGGTCGTTGGGGGGCCTGCTAAGGTTTTTGTTTTGCTTTTTTTTTTGTCTTAATTTATTTTTCTGCACTTGTGCTGCTAACATTGGTGCTGCAGCCCCTGGGTCCCATTAAGCCAGCGGTGGGAGTGACGGTGACTGAAAGACCTGTTATTGCCAGAAAGCAATTCTGACAGCGGATACAGGAATTGCAGCTAATCGCCTCTTCGCCGCGCCGGGAGCAGGGTGTGCTTGGCGTGACCCGACGGCAGCCCTCGCTGGCCGGTGCAGGGGCGGCCGCCGCATCGCCCCGTGCGCTCTGTGGCCGAAAGCTTTGCAGCCCAGTGCTGGGACACCCCCACATGCACTCTGCCTTTGCCTCTCCTCATGCCACTGGGCAAAACCTGTGGAGAAAAAGCTGCCCCCCCACCCACCAAAAGCTGCCCTTGAAGGGCGGGGGGCAGCAGAAAAACTGCTGGAAGCTGCCCATGCCAGTGGCCAGCACCCATCTGCCACCAAATTTCATAACTGTGTCGGCATCCCGCTGCAGGAAAACAACCGCTGCAGGAGGGAGAGAGACAAGTGCACATCTCCCCCTCCCCCAACCCACCATGCTGCTTGCTCAGTTTTTGCAGACCCCAAATCCTGGCAGGCCGACCTCTGCTACCAGCTGCCCTGAGGACATGGGGTGTGTGGGCTTCCCCCATAGAGGAATGGCACCTGCACCAGCAGCTGGGGAGAGTCCCCATGTAGGGCACCGGTCACTCTGGTTGCCTGGGCTGAGAGAAGATAAAAGCCTGGTGTGAAAGGGTCCCCCCATGCACATGGCACCAGGAGATGACAGCTCTTCTCTTCCTCTTCTTCCTCTCCTCTTCTCTTGAACCAGTGGCCACCACCCAGCCTTTAGCGCCCATTTCTCTGCAGTGCCAAAGCCCCAGTGCTGGCACGGGTGAGCCTGTCCTTGCATGGGGACAGCCCCAGGCAGGGGGTCCGGGGAGCCACATGCCCGTCCCCAGCACAGGGCAGCACCACGGCGCTCACTGGGCTCGCTGCAGCGTCCCTCCCTGCGTATTTCTCACGGGGGACTTGTGAGAAATGGAATTGCTCTATTAAAAAAACCACAAACCCTCCCCAAAAAGGGTTCAGAACAAGGAGGGGGTTTAGCCTGAAATTAAACAAAGTAATGAATAAGTTTAGTTTTTATAATCTTCTCTGCTGATGGTGGGGGAGGCGGCAGTCATCTCCAGGCCAGGGGCTGGGCAGCCAGAGGCTTGAGGAAGACTTTGGTTTCTTCCTCGCCTGGGGAAGGATGACATGGGGAGACAGTATCAGCCCAATGATAAAAGGGCAGAACATCTTCCCCAATGGACCATCCAGCATGACAAGGACCTCAGAGGAGGTTCATGGGGGAAGGGGACCTGAGCCTAGAGGGAAGAGAAGAGAAGCTCTAACTGGAAGAGGTGTGTGAGGGGAGATACCCAGACCAGTCCAGAAAGGAGAGCATACTGTACATCAGGGCTGAAAAATCCTTGGCTGGCCAGCCTCAGTATTTAGCAATCATCAACTTGGAAGCCATCTCCAAGGGCAAGAAGAACGCAAGTGGAAAGCCTCAATGGTTTGTCAAAGGGCAAAGTGTGCTTCACCAGCTGGCTGTCCCCTATGATGGCAGGAGCAGTTCCATGGCTGTACCACACCAGGGCTTAGACAGATGTTTTGACTCCCATATGGCTGGGACTTGGCTGGCCTCCAAGCAGAGAGGGGCTGCAGGAGAGCTGCCATGGTGGAGCTACATGACCTACACAGGGGGTGGTGGAGCTGGGCTTCTTGAAGGGAGTCACGGCCACACTGGCTTGACCAAGGGACAGTCCTGCTCCAAGCAAAGGCCGGATTAGAGACCTCCAGAGAGCCCCTCCAACCAACATTTCAAGGACATGACACTCATTCCTCCTGTACAAGCACAAAATGATCCAAAGGCAAACGGTGCTTTCTGAGTGCTGAGATGCATTATACAAAGCAATAAAAGATCACAGACACTGCAGGTCATCGCCAGGCAAGAACAAAGGCAGATCAGAGCTGCAGGAACAAATGCTTCCCTTTGTGCAGCAGAGCTGCCTAACAAGGACAGTCCCACATCCCTCAGTCCTTCCTACCCCCAATAATCCTGCAGATGGGCTGAGAACACTCAGCCATGTGCTCAAGGTAATATGGTTGGAGGATGACGGGCAACGTAAGCTGAGACTCTACCTTGTTCCCTCTAATGTACGTACCTCTATTTTTCCAGCAGTACCCCATACAAAAGAAAACGTGCCCCCAAATGTGTAGATTTTAATAATGAAGCTGTTGGCACACTTGCCCAATGGTGGGATCTCATTTAGTCCAGCAGTTTATTCAAAAGTGCATTTACATTGGTGCCCTCAAAACTCACGCTGTTGCCCTGAATTATCTGAAATTGAACTGAATCTACAGATATTTTCATCTTAATTCCTGAATGATGGTATTTACAGAGCCAAGGAGTTCTTTGAAATAGCCGTCTTTGTCACCTTCCCTCTGCTCCTCTGCTGCCAGCTCCTCATACTCGCTGCGTAGGAGGCTGAGGGTGGTGCTGAGGGTCGGGTCCCCCCGGAAGCGCTCCTTGCAGAAGGCCATCAGCACGCCCACCGTCTTGAGGACCTTCTCCCGAGTGTCATGCTCTGGCATGGCCAGCAGGTTGGAAACGACCACACACCAGTCCTGCTCGACCACTGCTGGGACCAGCTTGACTTGCCGGTACTGCTGGATTTTCTCTTCCATTTGATCTCCGTGCTGTGAGTCCTCAAGCAGCATCTGCGGGAAGTGGTGAAACATGGATTAATATCCCTATCGGAAAGCAACCACTCCCAGGAGGTGACACATCATGGGAGAGCAGGATGCACGTCCCATAACACCTGCCTTGAAAGGTGACTTGCAATGGAAAACCAAGACGAGGTTGTGTCCTGGTTCACTGTTGCATGAAGTTGGCCACAGGGGCTGCTTGCCCACCCTGGAAAACTCTTGGTGACTGGGAGGTTCAGTATCACAACGGCCCTGAAAGGGGACTCAAGGGGAAGGAAGTTCAGCAGAGACCTGTAAAGTCTCTGGGTCTGCTGCTTTCGGCTGCTGGACAGGCTCCTTCAGCACCTAACAAACATCACCGCTTGGCTTCATGCTGCTCTACGGAAGAGATGGAGATCTTGGTCTCCTCCAGCCATGGCCTGATCTTTCCCCTCCCAGCCTGGTCCAGAAAACCCCAAATACTGAAATTCTGCAGGGATGGTGCTGAGAGCAGAAAGATGCCTGCAGGGAGCAGGGCAGGCAGGGCTGCCAGCTCCCTTCCCAGTGAGACACACCTGCTCCGAGCAGCACCGGGTCTAGGGGGAAGGAAGGGAAACCTCCTGCCACCACCCCAACACCTTTCAAAGCTTGGGTGGTGGAGTGGCTCTGCTCTCCGATGGAGCTCTCCTCCCAGCTTGGCTGGTGGCCCCCGTGATAATTACTATGTCCGTGCTTCACTAATTAGCTCTGAGTAGGCTGCTCGCCTCGGACTGCTGAAGGCAGATGAGGGCTTCTGTGAGGCTGGTGAGCAGAAATCCAGCCTTGGGGAAGCAAGAGGGCGGCCAGCGTGCCCACAAGCTGCCAGGAGAAGCGATTGGACAACCCCGTCCCCGGGGGCTGCTTGGGTCCCCAAGGGCACCCATAACATTTTCTCTGACCTGTTCATCAGCTTGGCAATGGACTCCCACTGTCCCCGGGTGGCTGCTGCAGGGAGCTTGGTCATGCTGTTTTATCCCACTGATTTATGGGACATGGTGTGGACAAGGAGGGACAACGCCAAGGAGACCTCCTCTCTCCCAGTCCCCCGAGAGGGCTGCCTGCTAAAACCCTGCTGGCCACGCACGATTTGAGGTGAAAAGGGAAGAAGGGGGCAGAAAAAGCGATTCAGAGCCCCAGCAATTCATGCTTCAGCACAGAGAGCTGCTGATGGTAGTTTATGATTTTCAGACCAACCTATTTGACTTGTCACCCAGCCCATCCCAAATCTGCCACTCCTGCTCAGACCAGCCCTGCTCCCTGCTGGGCACCAAGGGCTCTCCCATCTCCTCCATGAAGGGGCTGGGATTCATACACGGCATTCCCAGTCCGAAGGGCAGCGAAAAATCATTGTTTTAACATAAAGCCGAGAATCTGCCAGGCCTGCGGACTGCCCCCAGCCACAGCAGAACTGGGAACAGATGGGGCTGCCAGAGGGGCGGCCATAAAACGTGTAGCAGGAGCGAACAGGAACAGTTCAGGTAAAATGCCCACATACGCTCCCTTTCCATGCAAGCAAACAGACGGGATCGCTGCGCATTACGAGCCAGCACCCGATAAGATTCAGACCCCCTAAAATAATTTGTACCTTTACAAAGTCTCCTGGAAAACAACTGTTTTGAAACACAGACATTGCTCTGCGGTGCCTGAAACCCAAGTATTACAGCAGTAATAATCTGCAGGGCAAATTGGCTATAAACTGAGTGAAAGTGGATTTAATTTCCATTCTCTGGAGTAAGAGAAACGCACAGACTAAACAACAAGCGATGGCAAGGAAAGATCAGTTTTAAAATGACATTTACAGCAGTAATCCAAGATATTTGAAAATAAAACACTTAACGTTGTGGGCTTGGCTCCAGCGAGGGATGTGCAGGCAGGCAAGGACCTCTCCAGCAGGCAGGGGCACAGCAACGGTGGCTGGTCCCTGGGCAACTGGCTGGCAGCCGGCGGCTGGACGCTGCAGCCGAGCTCACTGCAGTCCGGTGCCTATTTTTCCTACTCAGATCCTTGCCATTTTGTTATTTAAACACCCTCAGGTGGAAACAGTGATGGCAGTTGAATGAAAAATAAAGATTTAAGCTCACCCTGGGCTCTCCTAGACACTTTTCCCCCACAGCAGTGGCCTGTGGGCTGGAGGGAACTCATCCCAACAGCACAGACCAGCACCGATGCTGGATCAGCCCCTCTGCACTCTCATCCTTCGAGGATGCTCAACAGCCCCTTTGGCTTGGTGAGGGGGTGAAGGTGGGGAGTGCCTGGCCGGGTCCCATCCCCTCCCTCCTGGCTCCTCACCTTCTCCACGATGAGGTCATAGAGGAGTGTCACCACACGGACGTGGAGGGTCTCCATCCCCTTCTGCCTGAAGAGACTCCTGAGGACCTGGAGGCCGCCCAGCTTGAGGAACTGCTGCTGGGCGTAGGGGAAGTGTCTCAGCATGGAGGACAGTGCAAAGAGAGCCTGGTGGGGAAAGAGGTCCATCAGCATAGCAGCCACGGCCGCTGCATTTGGCGCAGCCTCTCTTCATGGCATCCCATGGGGACAGGCAAAACACGCTCCAACCCATTTGTGCGGAGCTCCCCAGCAGATGCATTCAAACCTCTCCTCTCTGAGAGGCATCTCCAAGAGTCCCCTTTTCTCCTGATCCCAACCCTCCCTGGCACTGCGAGACTGCCCAAACTCGGGTGACTTCCACCCAAACTCCAACCCAGACTGTCACTGTGCTTGCTAGAACGATAACCCAGAAGGACCTGTGGCCAGCATCTGAATAGAAACAACGCCGTTGCTTCTCCTTGCGGTTTACCCCCACCAGTCCTCAGTACAGCGCTTGGCTACAGGCTAAGGATGAGGCGGGTCCAGCACCACCGAGCAGAGCCTGATCCCCTCAAGACAATTTGGACACCTAGGAATATCCTCTGCCTTGCACCCATGCAGCCAGAGGACAAGACCATGATGTTTCCCAGGACACAGCCCCAGAACAGGGTCTGCCATGGTGCAGCATCACACACCGCCAGCGAGACACCATCAAGCCCACACTTGCCTCCTGGGCCTTAAGTGGCAAGGGGTTAACACCAAGGAGGCAATTAGGGGCCAACCAGCTGAATCTTACACTCGTCTGATTTTGACAACCATGGTTTGCAGAGGGGATGGGCTGATGCCGCCCGGGGCAGGGCTGCTGCCTGAGCGGGGACGGGGATGCTCATCTGGGCGCCTGCGAGTGAGCAGAGCTGGCTCCTCTGCACACCAAGGTGGACCGTGCATCCCTGCTCTCCGCAGACAGATCCAAGCTGACAGCCATGTCTTCCCCAGTCCCATTTGTTTCTATTTTCCATCTTCAGAGTTGCCGCTGGTGAATTGGAGGATGTTTCCATCTCCTTTTTTAACCATAGGCCAAAGGATGGGGGAGGGAAGAAATGCACTTTTGGCCTCACTGCTGCACACCACTGCGAGCGCCAGGGCAGAAAACCCACTGGAGTGGGAGCTGTGGGCTGCTGCCCCATGTGGGAAGGGGCTGGGTCACCGACCTGTCCTTGGGATCCTGGCCTGGAGAAAGACAAGAGACTGTACGCAGCATAGGAACTGGAAATTAGAAGCCTCTGTCCTCCTGGAAAAAGGTGTTCAACCCTCAAAGGCTCTCGTAAGGCCGCATGTAGATGTGGACAATACCGAGCTCATCCCTCTCGCTCTTCTCCAGGGGCTGCCAGTGAGAAGCGTTCAGGCTCGCTGGTAAGAAGCACCCCACACCTACCACCCAGGGGTTCAAATGATGCTGGTGAGGGCCTCTGCATGCCCAGCCATCCCTCCTCACCCTAAAATGAGCGCTGGATTGAGCCACAGGTACTCCTGGGAGTACTTCTTGAGCACGGAGCATCCCGTGGTGCATTTCTCCGTCCGGGACCTCCTCACACCCATGGCCAAAAGCAAAGGGGTTCCCCAGCCTCTCCTGTGCCTTCCACTCACTGGAGGACTCTTACCATGGACTAAAGGGGAACGTGTTTGTAGGAGCTTATTAAAATACTGGAAGCACACCACTGTTTGCATAACAGCAAGTGCATTAAAAATGAATGAAAGAGCTGGTGGCTCCCTCGCCCCGCTAAACCTCCTCTTGCAGGAGATCACCATGTTAAATGGTGGGGCTGGGTTTTCGGGAGCAGCCAGATAATTTTACGGCCCATAAACAGAAGCAGCATCACACGCTAAAGTGAGGGTAATGAGATCTCATGCTCCAGGGATTACGGTAAGGAGGGCAGGAGGTGGCAAGGAAGCCCCCACCCCGATGGACAGCACTGCACATTTGGCTGGGGGCTCTCGACGCTGCTCGGCTTGCTCCAAAGCCACCGCCAAAGGCAGGACACGGGGCTGACTCCAGCAATTAGCTCCTTCCAAATGTCAGTTCCCATGTTTGTTAGCCTCTGATCATTCTGCCTGCCACTGGGACCCCTGCCTTTCCTCCCAAAGGAGCCACAGCACTGAGTCCTGTCCCCCGCAGGGCTGGCAGAGCTGCCGTGTGTGCTGCGGCTGGCAGTGGGGGGAGACCTGCAGTGCCAGGAAGCCAGCGGGCACCAGCCAGCCAGGGATGCTGGGGGTGGTCCGGCACCCAGCGCCACTCTCCTGCACCGCTGGGGAGCAAAGCCCACCCAGTGTGGGGAGCAGTGCAGGGTCCCACACTCTCATGATGTCAGCAATGTCCCGAGGAGTGCTTACATTGAGCTCAGCTCAGCACAAAACCAGCTTTACCCAGAGGTGCAACCCCACTTGCTCACCTTCTTCTTGACAGCCAGAGGTTGTTCTGTAGCCAGAATAACCAGGAGTTTCTGCAGCGCACCCCCCTCGATTGCTTCTATCTGGATTTTGGGGTTGCTGTAGGGACAAAAGCAAAAGGCAGGTCACCAACAGAGTGGGGCATGGCAGGGTGGGATGGACGCCAGGTCTGTCTGGGGCAGCACCCCGCAGCGGATGTGAATGAGGGTCAGTCCAGTCTGATCCCAGAGCAAAGCCCCCCAGCTCCCACTGACCACAGCTTGCAGTTATAGAGAAGGTGCAAAGCCCTGCGGGCCACCCCAAACACAGCACATGACCAATGCAACCTGAAGTGACAGCAACAGGGCTGGGGAAGGACATGCCAGACCATCCACATCACCCCACCACATGCCCACATCCTACCTGTCTTCCCCTGGCAAGGAGCCCTACCCTGCATTTCCCTCTCAACTATTAATCTTCTCTCTTTGCATCACATCTATTCTTTAATGGCCTTTTATTTTGGCTCTACGCTCTCCCCCTCTCAAGCTCCTCATTTGCTGTTAACATGCTGATTTATTTAAACACTCTTGTGCCGCAGCACCAGCCCTCCAGCTCACCTGGAGGAAGGTCCTGCTTGTACCCAGCACCTCTGAATCACAAATTACTCCTGGTCTCACCACCCACACACCTCTCGCATCGAGCGCTTTTCTTCAAGGACTACAAATGGCTAAATCCTTCTGTTTGCAAGAACCAGGCTAGGTCTGGATGTGAACAGCTGCCCCAGGTGCAGGCAGATGAAGACAAGCCTTGCCCACCATCTGCGCTGCCCCCGGGTACCAGCTGCCCAGGCAGGGGCACCTCAGCCATGCAGATGCTTTGAAAACCCACTTCTAGTACATCTTTGAAGGTGGCAGAGAGGTTAGATGCTACAGGCTCCCTCTTCAGCAGGGCTTTCACAGTTGGAGCACAACACACCAGCTGTCTACATCCCTGATCCCGGGTCTCTCGTGCTCTGTCAAAGAGCTCCAGCACTTCAGCCTTTGCTCGACTTTGAAGCCAGACAAAGGTCACATGTCCCTGCTATGGCAAAACACTCACAGCTCTTACTGCTACCAGAAAGCTACTGGAGCAGCCAGTGCCAAGTATCGTCCAAGAAATAAGAGAGACAGAGGCAGACAGAGTCATAAAAAAATCAAAAACAAAAGACAAATGGACTTGGGCAGGGAGCAGCTTTGAATTAAACTCATCGCTCCCAGAAATACAGCAAAACATTAAGTTCATCTATGTCAACCAAGGTGCTGGGCAATCTCTTCAATCCTCCCTGCTCCATCTGGGCTTTGCTTCTCACACCATTAGGAATCATCCACAGCTCAGAGGCAGCAGATCTGGTGTTCGGGTTTCCAACTGCAATTACCAGGCTGACCTCATGGCAGGAAAAGGGTGATTGGTGAAAGCCACCTTTGATTTCTTCCTCACCTGCTTGCTTGTGGTAGGCACCCAGGCAGAGCCACAGCACAGGCACCCTTCTGAGGAGGGGGACATCTGCGACCTGTCCAGACAGGGCAGGGAGGAGAAAGAACAAATCCAGAGGCTTCAGAATCCTCCTGCAGAAGAGATTTTTGCAGTGTGGTCCACACATGCGCCCGCAGACCTCCGTGTGACAGCACTGTGGCAGCCCCAGCATCCCTGGGAGCAACCCAGCTTCTGGCAGTGCCTGGCTCCAGGTGGGACCTCATGCATGTACCAATATGTGTTTATCCCCCATCCTCACCACGTCAACAGGCACAGCAAAGTCTTCTCCTGCAGCAACAGGATGTTATTTTCCACCTCAACATGGTGGGAAATGACCCATGTGGCCAACCCCCTCTTCTTGCAGAGCAGCAATGGCATCTCTGATGGCCTGGCCTGGGCTCTGATTTTGGAGAGTCAGGAGTCAACACAGGCAAACAGCATCAGCCCCAAAACCTTCAGCTGCCCCCAGGCAACCCTGGACACAAGGCAATTTCCCCCCAGATGACAACCACTGCTCTCATCTCCAGCCATACCTGTAGTCACATGGACAGCCATGGCCCCACCAGCATGGGGATAGCCCAGGGGTGGTGCTGCAGCCCCACAGCATCATGGTGCCCTGTTCAGCCTCAGCAACTTCTCCCAGGGCAAAGATAGGAAGAAGAGTACAATGGTGGGATGAAGGACAAACAGCTCACAGAGCGCCCAGGGGTTGGCTGCAGACCAATCTAACGTACCTCAGCAGGCAGAAATGTCCTAAGTGTGACCCTCGCCTCAAAAGAGCCAGAGGTAAGTAATATCTGTCCTACAGAAGTGAATGAATCCTGCACCTCCTTTCGGTCCGGATGGATTTATAAACCAGGCTTGTGATTAGACTCCTTTGAGAGTCCAGAGACATGACACCCAGAAGGCACCAAGGAAATGCAGCAGTGAGAAGCAATACACGTACCCAAGTTGCTGAAGGTGCCTTCAGCAGTGAGTTGGGCACAGCCGGTGCTTGAGCTGGGACAGCTGAACACGGCTGTGCTCACCACAACAGCATGAAACCTTCTCCTGCAGAGGCTGGGCAACATAAGTGCAGCCACTGGGGCTGTGATCAGAGCCCTGTGTATCTCCAAAACCCACCCAGCCGCTACAGGAAATGCACAGACAGCCCTTCCACCATGCCAGGCTCCGCTGCAAACCAGGCAGGAGGGGGAAGAGAAGGTTTTTTCCAGCTGTTTTTCCAGCGAAGACAGCTTTGGTCTCTGCCTTTGTCTGTGTATGATTGGGTTGCACTTGTTTCTGCTTCAAGCTTTTCTAGGGGAAGGCACAGCGCGGAGGTTCAGCTCTGCCTGGCACATCATCAGCCACACTGTCAGGCACATTTTCAATGCTGAGGCTCCATGACCAGTGCAAATGAGAGGCAAAGAGACCACAGCTGCATTTCTAGATGCCAAGAAGGAGCTGGCAACTCTAAAGTTCAAAAAATACAACTTCTGATCTGAAAACTTGACCAAATTTCACACGCAAGTTTCTCCAGGAAAGGGAGACCAGAGTAAGTGCAGAACAAGTTTGCACGCAGTCACTTTTCTGAGTATAACTGCACTGAAAGGAGTGCTCTCCTATGCTAGAGACCTCTTAGCGCCATTCAAGGGAAACGTTAAGTTTGGGATATCCAAGTTCTTTTGTCACATCTATCTGAAATAAATCATAAAAACTCCTACAGCAAGGGACACAACTGAAAAATTGGTATGCCTTTTAATGCTTGGCTGGTCACCTGGAGGATTAGATCTAATTAAAATCTCTGAACCATGGAGTTTTTGCCAGGGAACACCTCTAGAGGTTAGGAAGCCTTCCTGGATGATAGGCGTGCTGCTCACTTCTCAGTGTTTCTGTTGTTTAATGTCTCTACTATCAATAGCCCAGGCTTCACACTAACAAAAAAGCTCGTTTGAGAGTTTGGAAAACTCAGCACAGATCTGTACAAATTACACTGTCAAGCCCAGGGAAAGCAGCCTGAACAAAATAAATACAATGAGACAGACTGTGGAGCGCTCACATGGGAAATTCAACCTGTGCTAATCTGCTAACGGATAAGGGGATGGTGGCAGCAGCAAGGAAATTCACTGAAATGAAACTCTGAGGCTGGGATAGAGACTAAATACAGCCTATGATGACACCCCCCAATGCTACAGGTGACGGCAGAGATTTGGGACTGCTCAACTGATAAGGACCGCTCAAACCTGGGTGAGGAACAGCCACAAGGCTATGGGGACTTGACACAAGTGCCCTGCTCAGGTTCAAGTGGCTTCCCAAGAGAGCCCCTGCATATGCTAAACGCAGCCCCAGTTCACCCTGGGAGGACCCACCCCAAATGCAGGGCCACAACACATCCCCTCCTGATGTGGCCCTCACCACATGTCTGAGGTTCTTGTGCCTCCCAGCCATGTGGCCCATGTCCATCACATCCATCTCTCATCCTGTTCCTGAAGGCTGGCTACAGGCTCATTGTGATTGATCCATGCAAGAAATGGCCTGGGTGCTGGGACAGGGTGGGGTTAATGGGCACGCTGCTGGTGTTCACGCTGGCCAAGATGCACTGAGCAGGGGTGAAGTGGTTGGGAAGACTGGCAGGAATCCCTACCACCCACAGGTTCCCACGCCATCATCTCTGAGTGGCTCCTGAGAAAGCTCTGTTCCTTGCAAGGTGGGCTTTGTCCTTGGACAGAAGATCCTGAACCTCTTGAGACATGGGTCATCCCTCCCAGATCATGAGATGACCTCTGAACAGCTCTGGACATGGGCCACCAGACCCTCTTGATACAGATCCTGGAGACAATACCTTCTTTCCCAGGGTGTGGTCTACAGTCTACTCTCTGTGCTTTCAAATCCCAACCCAGGCTGATCCTCCACCCAACTCAAGATGTCCCTGCTGCCTGCAGACCTCCCTGCTTCTCCCCACCTCTCCCAGGGACCTCCACAGACAGGCTCACTCAGCAGTGACGGGGCTGCCACCCACACTGTCACGAGCACACTGCAGCACTTAAGATGCACCCTTTTGACCACAAGACAAACAACATTTATGTTTCCTACTGCTGCTTCCTTCCGAAGCTCCTGGAATTGTGACTTTGCCAAGCACAAATTTAATGTGCCATTTCATCAGCCCAGCACGTTTCCCTCTCGGTGGCTGGAGGAGGGTGACCGTGCCCTTTGGTGGAGAGGGGAAAAAACAAAAGTAGGGGAAGGAAAGCCAACAGAAATCCTCCATCTGAGCCTGCCTGCTGCGGCTCACAACAGCAGAATGAAATACTCCATTTTCTGCCAGTTTATATTTCACTGCGTTGGAGTTACAACTTCCCACGAGGGGCCAGAAATTATTACAGTCAAGGCTTGTTTGCCATAACACTACAAGCCTCAACAGTGCACGGAGAGGGGAGCAAAAGTAATAAAAACAAGGGCTGACATGCTGTGATCAGTGCTATCAGAGTAAAACTGAAATGAAGGTGCCATAGCGCCCCAGTCACCAGTGGCAGGTCCTGCCTTGGGCAGGTGGTGAAGGCAGAGATGGGACCTGGCCTCTTCCACCAGCTGCCAGGTCGTGACATTTGCTCCCTTCTTCCTTTTTTGTT